AGTTATACAGTTTTATAGAATTATATACTTTATAGCTTTTTTCCACTGTAGATGGTGCATAAATATAAACAAAGATAACACAAGGATCCTGGGGAAAAGAAAACATGTAGGGCCGCTATAAATTTATTTGTGTTTGGCGGGAGAGTCGATTGAAGGAATAACAAAAAAATACAGATTAGCTTATGCTACATCATATCGACATGTCAAAAGTGGAATTGCTTCTTCACAATTAGGCCGGTTCGTCCTATATTCATAACTGTCATTAGCTGGTAGCTTTCTTCCACTTTTTTTGATTTTTGCTAGAAAGAAGATGTATCCAAGACTTCTTTATAGAAGTCCGCCAGAGACTCAGGAAACGTGTACTCCCAATGGTTGATGTTTTTGAATTGGATGCATTTTTCCGTAGATCAAGTGAGACCAACCGCAGACAAAAAGTTCCTGTTGATATTAGACAACCACAAAAGTCACAAATATTATCCTGCACTTGAGTACGCAACCAAGAAAAATGTGGTGATATTATCGTTAGCAAAATACAACCGATGGATGTTGTTGTAGATGGCCCGCTGAAAACGTATTCTGAAAGGGAGATCAACATGTTTCAAAAATCTCACCCAGTCCGCATCATCAATAAGTACGATGTAGCTAGATTGCTAGCACTAGCTTTTCTCAAATCTGCGGTGGCCATCAACGCAGTCCATGGATTTGAAAGTCTCGGAGTTTGACCTGTAAACAAGTAGGTATGATTTTGGTGATCACCATTTTGCACCAGCCAATGTACTTGCAGGAACATTCAATTTGGATCCGAAACTTTGCCCCCACCGGAAAGAACTAATTTGCCCGATTCCATCATTCAAGTTCAATTTCTTTGTAATAACTACATAATAGCATTGTAGAAAAAAATATGTTCCTTCAATTTTAGATTTTTTTTTTCATGTTCAGTTCCATGACAAATAATGTTGTTGTTCGCTTTGCTCTAGTACTGAATCCACTTCATCCGGAGTGCTGGGCAAAGTGGATATTCATGCCATTGCTGAAAACTGGCCTTATATCTAATAGTTTAATCAATATCAATAACAAATGTTATTACATTTTGTAAGTTCATTAAATGAAGACTCAATATAAATATTTGTTTCAATTTCCCCAGTTGTAACTAAACGACAATGATTAAGAGAAGCTTAAGGTATTCACGTTGCCCGGGTTTCCCCTACATAAATATGATATAACTGACCGATACTTAACGAAAATCCATCAAAACGTACTCGAAAAACACACCTCAATATGATATTTTCACAGTATTGTAACTCCCGAAGTTGCTTTTTACGAGGGTAGTCTCAAAAGTTTCCGAACTCAACATAAAGATAGTAGCACTTGTAAATAGAAGCCAGCGAATTTCGTTGTTCATCTATTGACAGTTACTCACCAACGTTTCAGCTATTTTTGCCGCGCAGTTGTTATGAACAGTTGTTTGAGTGAATTGATGTGAGTGTTTTCATGAAAATGGACAAAATCGAGTATCGAACTGTCATTAAATATTGGTTTTTGAAAGGAAATATGCCTACAGGAATCAGAGATAAGTTGGATTCTATGAATGGTACTCTACACCAGCCTTTACCACAATGAAATTTTGGTGAGCTGAATTTGAGCGTGGCAGTAGGAGCTTGATTATTTGGGACGTCTGAAAAGTGCAACAACCGACCAAAACATCGCCAAAGTTGACAAAATAGTGCTACACTACCGCCGAATTACACTGTAAGAGACAGCGGAGGTTATGAACATGTCCAAAGAACGTTTTTGTCACATAGTAAATCAACATTGATGCATGAGAAAGCTGTCCGAGCTTTGGGTGTCGCATTTGCTCACGTTAGACCAATAACGTGTTCGAGACAATATTTCGAGCGCTCTGTTAGCGCAGTTGACTGAGTTATGTCGCCGATCAATTACTGTAGATGAAACTACAGTGAACTGGAAAGTGGGAACCCGCTTCAAAAAGGCAAAAACTGTTTTTTCCGCTGGGAAAGTGATGGCAACTATTTTTTGGGATAGTCATGGAGTTATTTCAATCGATTATCTTCAAAAAGAAAAAACCATAACAGAAGCATACTACGCATCATTACTTGACAGGCTGAAGGCAGAACTTGTTGAAAAACAACCACATTTGCAGAAAAAAAAAATCCTGTTTCACCAAGACAACGCGCCGTCTCACACCTCAGTGGTTGCTCAAAATATCATCGACAAAATCTTTCAAATTACTATTCAAATTCAAACGATCATATTAGAGGAAATCGTCCTCGTTGTTTCTGGAAGTAGGTCCACTTTTCTCCCAGAAACGAAATAATGCAATATCAAACTACTCTATCGACATCTAGTCGCTATTGAACGCTGAAACACAAAGTATGTGCTGTGCTGTTTCATCATTTTCCAGACAGAGGCGACACACACTGTCTTTCGACAGTCCGAGTCTCTGCATATGATGATTCGAATGACAATGACCTGTGAGAATGCCTGTTAGACATCGTAGTCCAACAACTGTTTGGTATCAAGTTTTGAAAGGTAAATAAACGCCCTGTAGTGGGCCAATCCTGAAAGATTCTGTCAGAAGTCCATAAATCTCATTGCCATCCAGGTGTTCAATGTTTGTTTGGCAAAGCCTAAAGCGATACCAATGACAGCTTCTGGTCCGATGAAGCTGCTTGCAGCACCCTTCAGTCAGCAGCCAGTATGCCCAGGAATCCAGACCAGAGACAATCAACATAGTCTTACTATCAAGGAGAGTTGTTTTTGGCAATTTGCTACCAATTGAGACGTTGCTTGGTAGGAGCCAGGAGCTCCCAACGCCGCTTGACTGTCCAAAACTATATTTATTGACTCATGTATGAGGATGGATTTTCCCAATGTCTCCGCACACAACTCAACTGCGTGAATTTTTTGCTTTAAATACAGTCACATAGATTCCTAAGCAGGTTAATATCTCTATCCTGGGTCTGCGAGTGAAAACACCAGAACCTGATGGAGTTTTTGATCCATCTGTGAACCAACATCTATCTGCTCTTGATAATTCCTTCTCTCGGAGGATCCAGTCCTCTATACCCGGGAACAGTACTTCATGAGGCAGTTTGTATTTGAAAGTTGAAGGCATGAAATCAAAGGTCATTTTCAGAATGCTGTGACTTCCAGTGTCAACCGACCCAAGTGAGCGTTCAAGGTGCTTATTTTATCAAGGACAATGCCAAAGTATCTCACCTAGGTTCCAAATGCAATGACCTCACCATTGAACGGGAGAGGCGTTAAATTCTCCAATTTTCTCCTCCTGGTAGAGGGGATTATCACAGTTTTGCTGGGTTTGACCGGCATTTGGTCCCTCAGGCATCAACTGTGAACAACGTCCATCGTGCTTTGGTGGATATTACAAGCTACCCTTTCCGACGTAGACCTTGCCAAGGTGATAATGTCATATTGGCAAGGTCTATGTCGGCAAGGTCTATGTCTATGTTGGCCTTGCCTTGGTGAGTCCTAGTTGCAATTTTGTTTACCAGCATGGCACAGATCCAGCCAGTTATTGTTGATTCTATGCCTTTCCTAGCAGGAATGATCCTATAGATTTGGGTAGAATAGCTCCTTCAGCTTCAAGAAATATAGCAACAACAATCTCCTTATTGTCAAGGGATTGGTTTACTGCAAAATCTGTCGATTTGCCGGTTTGATAAGCATACTTGTGGTTATTCAGGGGGGGGGGGGTGCATTTAATGCCATCCTCCTGATGGGTCCATCCAGTATCGTTTCAAGTCCTTTCAACAGGAAGGATGTAAGGCTGATAGGTCATACTGATTTAGGGTGAGTGTGTTTCCGAGCCACTTTAGGTATACTATATACCACCAACTGGGTGGTATATAATTTCGATTTGAAGGGTCGAAACGACTTGATAGCCCAATCAAATGCAGGTGCTGTGATAACCTTCTTGCCGATTTCCCAATCGCTCTTTTTTGGGCGTTTAGCTCCCTCGAAGATGAGAGGTCTGTTGTTATTAAGAGTCAGATTTCCAGGAAAGCTCTAACATATCTTTACTAAAGGTCGTGAATGTTCCATCGAGTCGATCAATCCACCCAATGTCAGCAGTTGGCTCTCTAGAAAGAAACCTTCCACTTACCTGATGACCAAACTGATAGTTTCACGTGAGTTTAGATAAAAACTAATTGAAGATTCGAATATCGTAAAAGAAAATTTTCAACAAATACAGTGAATGGACATGCAATAAACTATTCATCAACTTCCACATTGATGACAATATTACATGTGCAATTATTGAGGTGTTGAAATTTATTTTCATGATGCTCAAAAATTTCCAATTAGTTTTCACCTACACTAAAATGAAATTAAATTATACATCATTAGGGAAGCATGGAAAACGCATTGTATAGCGAAACACATGTGCGGTTTAATGAACTGTTCAATGTTACTTGAGTATGGACTTGCAGAACAATAATTTTGTGAACTGAGAACTTGAAACTATCGGTCGATATGACTTAATGATGAATTTCACTAGTTCGGACTTCCATTGTCTACTATATAAAATGATTTGTAATCCCTGAAACAAGTAAAAAAGAATAATTAAAAAGGAATAGTTTCACTATCATTGCATTTCAGGTTTATTGTTGCTTAATATAATCGTTATTTTCAACTATTCCTTTTTAATTATTCTTTTTTACTTGTTTCAGGGATTTCAAATCATTTTATATAGTAGACAATGGAAGTCCGAACTAGTGAAATTCANCTGAAGTTAATAAATAATAATAATAATAATAATATAGTGAAACCTTTTTTCAAATATTCAACCTATCTTTCTGAAAGCGATTTCCTACAGGTGCAGAAGCCTAATGACAGTCCCTTAGTTTTTTCGCTACCGTTCATATCATATATAAATATCAAAAACCACTCGAAGCCAAAACTCCTGGTGCATTTGTTGTAGTCCTTCCTGCGACTCGACAACTGTGTCGGCGCAGGACAGAAATCGATTTCAGTCTGAAATATAGGCGAACCAGCGGTTTTCAGTGTTCCCTTTCAGTCTTGCCAACGATTATCGCGAGTTTTGGATTGTTTGTCAACATCTTAGGAAGATGGTGAGTAAACATTTATTTCATAACATCAAGTTTCGGAGTGGTGGTTGAGTAGTTTGTCGATTGGTGACAGAAACTATTGATGCTCGAAAAAAGGTTGAAAAATTGGCCTTGTTACTGCTCCTCTACTCATGAGGGTTCTTTGCCTTGAGAATATAGGATTTCGTTTAAATATTGTGCGTAATATCGAGCTTCCATTAGAAGTTTGAGATGTAAAAGTGGAATTATCATTGATGGCATCATGTAAATGTTTCAAACACCAGTGAATTGGGATTTTCCGAAATATTCTCCAACATTCAGTATACCTTTTACAAATGTGGCATGTCAAAATTGAATTCATTTTTTATAACCTTTCCATATTTGGATTCTATCAGAATAATGTCAAAACGTTGGTCTATTCAATTTCTTATTAATGGAAAAAAACACATTTTGTTAAATTTGAAAATTTTCCATTTTTCATTATCGACTAATAATTCATCCACAATCTTTCATTCTGCAACTGGGACAAAAACAAAAAAAACTTGATTTTTTTTCGAATGGAACCCTGAATTTTTCCTAATCAAGATGGAACTTCAATTCATATTTTGTTCTTCAGAATGCGAAGTTGTTTAGTTATATACAGAGCATTTCTTTAATATCCCCACCTTTTATTTTTTTCACTAATTTATTTCACTTTCAAATTCGTTACCAAAGTTTTTGCTGGAGAATTTTAATGTTGAAAATAATATAGTTTCCGAAACTATTTTTTGTAACTCCCGGATCACTATATACAGTGCATTTCTTCAATACCTCCCCCGTTCATTTTTTGAACGGGTCAACTCAAAAAATAAAAATTTGAAATAATGAAATTAATGCATGAATACTTTATTTAAAAGTGAATTTGACAGATGAAACTTTCAAGATGGCGACTCAGCGCCATCTGGAAAAAAAAAGTAAAGGAAAGGGGGATCTTGTGAAATATGTTTTTGAAGCTCCTGAGAAATGCTCGATAACTCTAGAATATAATGTTAATATCTTCAACTGCTACAAAATGGCGGAACTCCTAATCATTGCCTGAATACATTGCCCTTTAACTACATATTATGAGGTAATAAGCTTGAGGTCAGTTCGGAATATGCTCGAAATGGTTGCCTTGAACTTATTGACATATGAACAGCCTATCCGATATTTCACGCCGAACATTTTCGAACACATTAACGTCAATATCTCTACAAATTTTATTATTCTCTGCCGTATATCCAATATAGAAGCAGGTTCAGTTTCGTACAACTTTTACTTTGAATAGCCCCATAAAAAAGGGCAAAGGTGTCAAATCTGGCGAGCGGGCTGGCCATTCTGTAGGACCTCGTCGGCCAATCCAATGACCGGGAAATGTAGTATCCAAATAGTTTATTACTTGTCTGGAGTAATGTGGAGGTGCTCTATCTTGTTGGAATACAATATCCATATCGAATTCATTACGATTCGCTTCGACAATTTCAGTAATGAGAGGGTCAACAGTAGTTTCCAGCATATTCAAATACAGTTTCCCTGTTAAATTTCGATCCTACAATATGATTTCACAATATTCCTGCCCAAACGTTGATTTTTTCTGGATATTGGGTATGTGTTTCTCGGAAAACGTGAGGGTTGGTGTCACTCCAGTGGCGGCAATTTTGTCTGTGAACATTGCCGTTTAAAAAAATGAACATTCGTCACTGAAATAAATATTGTGGAGTTAGGTAGGATGCCTTCAAATGGTTTCTGTCATTATTTCGCAGAATTCTGTTCCTCGATCAGGGTCATCTACAGTTGATTGGTGTACTATTTTAATTGTCTATGGATGATACCAATTCCTCTTCAAAAGTCTTCACAAAGTAGAAGGAAATACCTCACAAACATTCGCGACGAAATAAGTAGACTGTTCAGGATATACTACCATCTCACTAATTATTTGTACTTGCTGGAATGGACGGATGATCTGGGGGCTTCTACCGGTAGTTGTGAATTTGGATACAAGTTTCCTCTAATATTTCCTACAGATAGGACGATTCGGAAAACGTTCTTTGAAAATCCTTTCGGTCTCGTGAAAGTTGCGCGTCGCACCGTAAATATAAATCACTTCAATTCAATTTATTTTCCAAACCATTCTAGAGATTATTGACGTGGTGCCTTCCTACTAGTGAAACCTAAAACTAAATAAGAATATTTCACGTATAGTCAGTGGGCATACTTGAAGACTGGCTATAAATCAAATCATCTAAAAGAATAATTCGTTCAGGCCAGTCTCAACACCCTACACAGTAGGTTAATGGACTGACACCTATCAGAAAACAACTACTCCCCTGGCTAATACCACGAAGGGCGTTGGATTATATCCGACAGGTGTCAGTGCAGGATTCTTCACTGAAGTTATTCCTGCATAT